GTTGGTTGAATATAAGCAATGAATGGTCGGTTGAGAATGGCTCTTACGTACCTAATGAAAATAACAAAGTGCTTTGTCATGCACTTTTGTTAGCTGAATAATGTATCTATGTATGTATGCATGTGTGGTCGAGCTAGTGCTTGCTAGCTGGCTGGCTGGCTACATACGCCCTAATTCTTGTTCCAATGTTTTGAGTGTGGATTTTACACTCTCCCATCTACAAAACCCTTCCTCTTTCACTTTTTTTTGCTTTCCACAAAATATTTTCACTTTTTATTAAAAACCACTTTTACTCCTACTTTTTCATACCCTACCTATCACATCATACTTTTTCACTAATAACCAAACTATCACATCTTACTTTTTCCCATCACATCAGGGGCAAAATTGGAAAGTCAATCAAAATTATACTTTCCTTATTTTTCTCCAAAGTAAAAACCAGAAGGGTTTTGTGGAACGAACGGAGTATTAACATCAATGGATTTTATTTTTAAATTTTACTGCACCATTATTATTATTATTATCATTATTGTCAAAGAACCAACTTAATCAAAAGATTAAGTTCGTAGTAGGTGCAGGCGTACTTTTTTCAAACCTTGCATGTGAAAGCTTTTTTTTTAAAATTGGGTGACACTGAGTTTCAATCTTGTGACATCTTAATCAACTATGCTTCGATATCATATCTCCCCTTCTCACTTCTCCTTCGCGTAGCCCTAGCATCCTCCATCGCTTTTCCCCTTTGTTGTCCTGCCTTTTCCATTTGCATCTCTTTTTGGTTTATTCGTTTCAATTGGTATCAAAATTTGCTTCTAAACTATTGGTTGTTTAGTTTCAATTTCTTCACTTCTTAAGAAATGATTTTGTAAAATTTGAATTTGCTTCTTCTAGCTAGATGTGCTCATCCTATTGTTTTAAGTTTTTTTTTTGTCATCCAGTCGCCATAAAAGTGGATGTAAAATGCGTGATGGTCGCCTTGTAGTTGTGCAAAGCATTGGGTCGGGTTTTAGCATTATGCCTTTTTTTGACATTGTGAATTGACATCTATGACATTACATATGGGCATTTGTGCCGATATGCATTGTTATGTGCGATCTTTCTTTGCTACTCCTTCCGTCCCCCATAGATCTTTCCAATAGCCCTTTTTCTTTGTCCACAATAGATCTTCTCATTTCATTTTTTAACAATTAAAATACCACAACTACCCCCACTTACTTTATTTATTACACCTTACCCACCTCATTTAATACACTCCACCCATTTTTAATTAATTCAAGGTCAAAATTTACCAATTTTGACCGAAAAAATTATTAATTGACAAATATTCATGAATGGAGAGAGTATACTTTTCTTAAACTTCGTTTCAAACCAAATCAGAAGCCTTTCTTTGAGACAGCATGAATATATTAATAATCAAAGTATTAAAATAAAATAAATACTCCACATTACCGAGTATTTAAGTTAAAAAAATCAAATTAAAGAAGTCTAAAACATACTCTCTCCGTCCCTAAAAACTTTTTTTCTTTCTGTTTTCATCCGTTCCAAAAAAATTCTCACTTCTATTAAAAAGTACTCCCTCCGTCCTATATTGATCTTCCCACTTCCCTTTTTTCCCCGTCCTAAAATCATCTTCCCACACACTTTAAATACACATGTAATGACTAAAATACCCCTAAAAAGTTAAAACATTTATTACTCACCCACCCCATATCCAACCCACCCCTTTATCTTCATTCTTCACCGTCCACACCTTCGTTCTTACACTTCTCCGCCTCCCTCCTCTAAGCGTTTCCCAGCGATAGGGTTTCTCCTTTCTTTTCCTCTCTCAAATCCCTGAAACTCAGATCCCTGAAACTCAAATT